GAGAATTGCTCAGTGAAGGAGAGCTCATCTAAGCCATTTATAAGGCTGTACAACGTAAGATAAAAGAGTTATAAGTGTTTGAAAATCATAAAAACGGCCGCCATCTTGAAAAATCAACCTCAATCCTACATATAGGCTACCGCCTATATAATAGATACAGGAAAGGAAACTGCCTGGATCATGTGATATTTTATCAGAGGAGGTAGGACACGGTTGACCTTTGATTAATAATTGCAAAGTTCAATGGACCTTTTGCACTTAAGCGATTCTAATTAACGCGCACCCAAAGTGGTGGTAAAATGGCGGATTTTTGGAGGAAAGACAGGCTGAACAATCTTCTCTTTTATCCAGCCACTCTAGCTGTAGGAGCCACTTTGAGCTGTCCTTTTGTTTCAGTATACTCTATTTATCTCTTCTATAAGCTCTTTGGTTGCTGTTTTGGCTTTTATACCATTTTATCATAGGAATATTCTCACCCATTGACAATTCCCGTTTTTCTAAATTTTGCTTTCAGGAGCCAGGGCGCTTGCCCCTCCATTGCTATGAAGACAGAAGTGTATTCAGCTGAGTCCTATGAATAGTGTCTATCATCAGACTTAGTCTCAGTCCATCAGGACAAGGTACGGTGGAATAACTCACTCAGTTGTCATGTTGCAGCTGGAGTGTGGATGATTATGACCATCTTTTACTTCTTAAAACTATAGGTTGGCTCTTTTATAGATAGTTGAGGCATGCTAGAGCTCATTCTTTATCTGTACATTCACTGGTTGTATTGTATGAGCACCTCATGTCGTATTTATATCCGCCAGTCGCTATCCAATACTTGCAGAGAGGAATCGTCACATTCAGGACTCGTTCATGGCTCTACACCATTTGTATCCTCTCCCAACAGTTTTACTTTTCATTTTAAATTATAAAAAACATTATGGGTGTTGTTGCTAGATTATTATTGTTGCTATCACTAGGTCACTATATTGCATTTGTATAGACGACTATTTATGTATTTACTCATACTTTATGATATTAACAGTATATACACAATAATTTGAAACTATCTCAACGATAACAAAGATAATTATTGTAATTAACATCAATTTTATCATAAATAAAATATTAAAATCATGTAACGATGCCAAGTGTTTTACTTCATACTAGAAGTCACTATTAATAGCTAGTTACATGATGCTCAGCTATTCCAGCACACTTATGTTCCTTGGAATGCTTCTTACATGTGAATAAAGACCAATCCTATAGTTTTAAGAAGTAAAAGATGGTCATAATCATCCACACTCCAGCTGCAACATGACAACTGAGTGAGTTATTCCACTGTACCTTGTCCTGATGGACTGAGACTAAGTCTGATGATAAACACTATTCATAGGACTCAGCTGAATACACTTCTGTCTTCATAGCAATGGAGGGGCAAGCGCCCTGGCTCCTGAAAGCAAAATTTAGAAAAACGGGAATTGTCAATGGGTGAGAATATTCCTATGATAAAATGGTATAAAAGCCAAAACAACAACCAAAGAGCTTACAGAAGAGATAAATAGAGTATACTGAAACAAAAGGACAGCTCAAAGTGGCTCCTACAGCTAGAGTGGCTGGATAAAAGAGAAGATTGTTCAGCCTGTCTTTCCTCCAAAAATCCGCCATTTTACCACCACTTTGGGTGCGCGTTAATTAGAATCGCTTAAGTGCAAAAGGTCCATTAAACTGCTTGCAGTGAATTGCAGCAGGTTGCTTAACAAAATAACTGCAAAGCTAGTTAATCACGTGACTCTCACCATACTAGTTGATACATCTCACGTGACCAGAAAGTGATGTGTAGTAAGAAAATTGGGTCAAGCAACCTGCAAAGTGTATATTGTTAAAAGACAGTAAACGACACCGTGTAAACAATCAGAACATTGTGCTAAAACAAAAATACAATAATGTCAGCATAAAAATTAAAAAAAACCTAGTTTATCAATATAAGTTAATAAGAATGAATCACTATTGGTAATTGTCTGTGAGGTTGTTCCTGTTCATGTTTACTAAGCAATAAACTTTTGTGCTCTTTAAGGAAATCATTTAGAATTTCTTTTTTATTTTTGACACCGATCTCAATATATTCAATTGAGGGATGAGTGAATACAGTTTCATAGAAATGCTGCATTGTTTCTCTCCAATGATCAGTGGATAGGAAGAAACCATCTCTAAGATTAAAACACAATTGCTTGATGGTTGTATTTGATTGTAACATGTCTGTAACAGTAAGAATAAAGTGTGTCTCATCAACAGGTGAATTTAGCTTAAAGTTTATTTCTGTAAGATAATTCATATGAGAAATAGTATCAATTGCAGATTTCACCTCCTCAGTGGTTGAAATTGAAATATGTACACTCTGTAGACTGGTATTGTATTTGATATATGATGGTGGGAAGTATAGCTTTGGTGACCCAAGGTAAACCTCAAAGTATGAAAGTGTTTGGTTAAGCCTCAACATGTTCTGTACATTGATATAAAAATTTGTAGTTAATATTGTTTTATAGTCTATTTTCACTTTCAAAGCTTTAAGTGTAGTATTGGTTTGTAGAATGGTTAAAAGTTCACCAACACTTTCCTCTGTATCCAATGATACCTCAAGTATACGTAGATTTGGATGAGATGAAAATATAAGATGCAATGGGTGTGAATAAGGTAGTATCAGACAGTGTAATCCATCACCTTGTAATAGTGGAAGGAGTTTGGACATTATAAAATGTCTTGTCTCCA